CCTCATTCTATATTGGTAATAAATTATGATTATTTTATTATAACATCAAAACTATTCATCCTTGTGACAAGTTGGATTATCATAGACTTGGACCATTTCTTATATATGAATAAGTTCATTCAATTACTTATTGATTACATCTACTTGAATCTATGAAGATCTATTTTATATTTTATATGTCTTTTCTTAATCCATATAAGATATAAAAATATCTTAAAAAGAAGTTAAATGCCATTGCTATTGTATTACATATGTTCTTGCTTGAAAATATACTAAGCACATAACTATAGAAGGTAAGTAAAAATACAACAATAACTGTACTTAGTCTAATAAAGTCTTAAATAAACTTCAAGTAATCTTTATTAATCCCAATCAAAATTTAATTAATCAAAATAAATTTAAAAGAAGTCACAAAAGAAACATAAAGAAGTCATAATTTAATCTCAAAAATATATAATAATTTTTTTTAATATAAAAATAAAACCTTAAAGAAATAATAATAAACTTTTAAAATTCTAAAAATAAAAATTCTATAAATAAATAATTAAGAATCCTTAAAAAATTAAAAATATAAAATCTAAATAAATTTTAATTAAGTCCTGATAAATTCTAATTTAATCTTAATTAAAATCTTAATGAACCTTAATTAAATCTAAAGTTAAATTTGAATTGAAATCTCAATTGAAATCTTAATAAACCTTAAATAAATCCTAAATCAAATCCTAATGAAATTCCAAATCCTAAACAAATCTTGAATCCTAAAAAAGTTCTAAATTCTAATTTGAGATCAAATCCTAATGAAATCCAAAATCCTAAATAATTCTAAAAAGATCTCAAATAAATTTCAATCAATTACTATAGCTATTTGAAATCTCAATAAATATTAATTGAATTATAGATCTTAAGTAGAATTTCATCCAAACTTCAATCAACAAGCAATTAATAAGCATACAAAATTTGAGAAGAAATAGACTTATCAATTATAAGAAAAACTGCCAAAACCTCTTGATTATTAGCCATCTTCCTTCTTTAACTTGAATGCTAATCTTTTAATACCAATTTCTCTTTGCTAAACCATTCAATCACTCCAAACTTTGGATTGTATGTAGATATTCAAGTCTTAAGTGAATTCTCTAAATTTTACTTCAATCTAATTAGTAGATACTGCTAGATCTCAAAATCACTTATTAATCATAAATTTCAAATTTCCAAGACCATAATCCACAAAAACCCTCATATGCTTCAATCTAATTACTCGATTGATTTTTAAATTTTCCACACATATTCATAATAAGCATACCAATAAATTATCCAAATTTCACCTATATATACTACAAAATTTAAAAAATCTTCAAATTTATAAATATTTTTTTATTTCTCAAAATCTAAATCCACTAAGAACACAAATAATTTTGAAAATCCCTTAGAATCTCAATATTGATCCAAATGACATGAAATTATAGTTTAAAAATCTCTTATCAAGTCTACTCTAAAATTCCATTCTTTGATTTGTAAAAGAATCCTAAAGTCATTGTAGGTGTACAATTTTGTGCCTTAAGGTCTGATTTCTATCCAAGTTGACAATTGGTCCTCTTTGGATATCAATTTTCAATAATTAGAGGTAAGTTTTTCTTTAATTTATTTTTAACTCTTTTTTAAATATGTTTGTATTAATTTTCTATTTTATTTACTTTGATTTGGCTCATTTATGCCTTTACAAAGTAAATAAAAGTCTCTTCTACAAAAAGAAGTATTAAGACTAAACTTTTTACTATCTTTCTATAATTTATCATGATTTTTCTAGTACATCTTTCTATTAGCCTCTTCTATAATAACATCTATTTTTATTTTTTATTTTTCACCATATAGTCATGTTATCATATGACATACCTGTACAGCTTCTGATATGCACAAAATAGTTCAAATCTTGTTTGATTCATTTTATGTTTTCCATGTCTTCATCCAATTCTTTTTCATCAATTTTGCTATCTAAGTCAAAATCATCTTCTTGTCTTAAAAGATTTATGTCTTCAACAAGATCTTTTATATTCATTTCCATTTGTCTTTGTTTGAATATCTTCACTTGCTTCCCTACAATTGGTATTTTTAACCTTGTTCCATCTAGTTCTTGTAATGAATAAGTCACATTATTATGAACAATTGTTACTACATCTAGTCCAAACCATTGTTTAGAAAACTTTCTTAAAGTACTATGTTGATTGTCCAAACTACTATCATAGACCAAAATCCAATCACCTTCTTCAATTGCCTTAGGTCTCAATCATGCCTTATTTTATAACCTTACTCTTTTAAACCTTTCTAATTTGGAGTGAGAAAGAATGCACAAAAAAAACTTTGGGAGGAATAATATTACAGTAGATATTAGGTTTCTTACCAAATTGGACTAATGACATATGTAATTATGTCAATATATATATATATATATATATATATTTATTTCCTTGACAGTTTGAAATATAGACAGTAACTGGTTAGACTCCTTTCTTGACGTTTTGAAGTAGTCACCCTGATATTTCAATATAGTAGCAACCATGTGCACTTAAAAGATCTTAAAAGATCTTAATGTTCAGCCACATTGTTTTGACCATCCACATCATCACCTTAAGTTCTTTTCCAGCAAGGACGATTGATAACCTGGTTCCAATAAAAGAGTTGTGAGTTTCTAGGAAACGACCAAATTCGACGCTTCATGTCCGATCTCTGCAATCGTCTTCCTTGAGCACAGTAACAGTATTTAGTCTTCAAGCGTCGGCAGGATATCACGCGGGGGGTTAGATCATTGCACCTGCATTTTGGCAATTGTGGTCCTCGTCTGATTGCTCACTTGTGCTACACTTTGAAGAGTGTGCTGTCGCTTTTTTTCTTTTCTTAATGCGCTAGATAACATGTTGCAGCTTTAACTGTGAGCCGTTCGGAGGTCGCAGTGCTGGTTTTGTTGTGTGTTTTGAGGTTCTCGCATGCAGAGATCATTTAGGTGCATGCTAGGAAATGGCGTCTGGTTTTTGCGTATGCCACTTTTCTAATATGAATTCACAAGGTCTTCAGTTTGAGGGCAGGTTTTTTTTTTTTTTTGAGGTTATTGTTTATTGTAACTGGTTGTATAGTTCTTTGATTGCAAACATTAGGAAAATACATATTTTTGAGCCAGCTTCTCAACCTGGCGCAATACCTAGAGATGTGATAGCATATTCAGAGATTTATTTCGTGAATTGGAGCTACAAAGGCCTCCCTGAGGTGATCAGGCGTTGTACAAACTCTAGACTATTTGGAAACAACTTCGGATGAAGTGAATAAATCAGAATTTACTGTAAGAGTTCAACAATTCTGCATATACGTACCTTCACAAACAGGAATCCTGGCATCGTGACAATGAAGGCACTCGAATTGTGGCGGCTGTCTGCAAAACATAAGTTAGTTAGCTTAAGGACTTCAAATGGTTAAGCCGACGACATATGAGCCGCTCGAGGAGTTTTTTCGGGTGGCGCTTGCCAGGTCCCTATCAGAAGTGGTATTGTCGGCACGCTGTTGATGGTGGAGGAATTAGGTCATCATAATTAATATGGAGGTTGCGCTTTGAACGTCGAACTTCTAAGTTGTCTTGTGTTTTCGCACAATTCCTGATATCCCTGCATGGGTTGTGATATGTACATCAATAGCGTATGAAGTTTTCCTGCATGGGTTGTGATATAAGAGGCTCAGTATGTTATGCAAATTTTAGATCTCATGCACCATTGCAGGCATGGAAAGGTAATTAATCAGCACAAATTTCATGATATTAATTCCATTTTTAACATGTTTGTTGGGTAATTAGTTAGTATGTCGAGGGTCGCTCAGTTAAGTTTTAAAAATTCAGAACCTTGTGTGTAGTATGAACGGTTGTCTACTTGATTATCACCTCGTTTCTGCGGTTTCTGCTTATATTATTGCCAAGGAAGTTGTCAAATGGGTATTTGCATTCAAGCATGCCAGGGAAGAGGTGAATATTCTCTATGCACTGGTTTTGCCTCTTTATCTCCCTCTCCTCCGCTACATTTCATAGTTGATGCTTATAGGAAGTCTATATATCAGTAGAAACCTCGTTTTTGATACATGTGAGAAAATTTGTGAATTTTTGTTGTACGAGCTGATTTTCCCAGTGAGTAGATTGATATCAGCCGCAGAATCATCAACACTAACGACAAAAGAGTCTTGGAAGCTTACACATTTGGTTTGGGTTTTGTCTTCTTGGTTGTGACTTTGTAATGACCAATCGGTAGAATTCCCACACATGTTATGAAAATCTGTTTGTCTACAGAGAAACGTCCATTAGTTCTGCATACTTTGAAAGGTTTGACTTAAATGGGCCTTGAACTCATGCAAGGTCCATCACTAGACGCATTGGCAATCTTATCAAAAAAGGCAGAGGTAAGGTCACAAAACAGAGAATCTATACTGACTTGACGTGTACTCTTGTATTTTTCACAATGATCGGAAATGTGTCCCTGAATTTTTACACCTGTATTCTCTCTTGGGATAGGACGATGTTCGTTATTGAGGCGGCCGCCAACGGTTTCACTGCAGGAACCTGATTCTGATGGACATTACTATTGTCGAGAAGGTGGCACAATTGAACATGCTGACTATAGATGCATTTGTATTGTTAATGGTGATATTACCTGATCCTTATCAACTTGTTACATGCAAATTGTATGATAAATCTCATTGTAGAAAGTTTCAATTCCCAACAGTTGCACGCAAGTCAGGACATTTCATGTGCTAATTTTTGTTCCATGAAACCTTTATTCCATGGACATCCATTTGCTTAGTAATCAGCTTTCTTACTGGTTTGTTGACGGATTTTTGAGTAAATAGGTATTCAAATTTTCAGAGATATCACAGCCTCCAAGGTGACATGTGCTTCTAACCCAAGTACTGCTTTAGTTTATTCACACATCAGAGCCAAGTCCCAATTACTTGAGTGCCTATCAGCTTGACACACGCCTGTTGAGAGTTCAGGCGCAGCAAGACACAAGAGAGAAGGCGGTTGGTGTCATTTAAGCCACTCTCTCAGCAATTTTTTAGCAGATAATGATCTTGGACATTACCCTTCGACACCAGTATGTTATCCGATACCAACTGCTAAACATTGCAGCTGTTTCATTTGAAAATAATAGTTGTTGATTAGTGCCAAAAAATGGTTCTGTATTAGGTAGTTTACACCTATCATCAATTATATTTGAGGTGCATACCTGGAGCATGCGGCGGGTAAGTAATGAGCGAAAAGAAAAGACGAAAGTAACTTATTGATCATGTGGACTCGTAAAATCGGCTGGAAACAGACTCAAGAATTTCCCAGTCGATGTCGTCACTTCTTGCACAACAACGATACTGTCGAGGCTGCCTCATTGTTGATAATGTCTTTCCAAATTTTCCAGTATTGCACGATGGAATGGTTAGGACAAGAAGTAGACTTTTGATGCTAAATTGTGCAGGTTTCGTGACAAACGAGACATCCATTTCTAGCAGAATTGGCCGTGCGACCAAGAAAGACCTTATTGTGAATATCTCTTCTGCACAAACGAATTTGACGCCATTAAAAGCTGTTTGCTCCAATGCTATGCGATATTCTTTAAAATGTTTTTTCAAGTAAGGGTTCAAATCAATATTCCTTGGTCCAACACTTGAGGAGCATTTCTCTATATGTCTGATGAATTTATTCATGAGGCTCACTATATGAATGTGTCGGGTGATGATCTGACTTGCCCAAGTTGATTGTTAATCCGAATGAGAGATTTTACTGCTGCTTTGTCCAAATCGTTTAAAAAAACATTAAGGATTCAAGTCAGGGAAAATGGATTCAAGTAGGATTAAAGATGTGATGGTTGCAGCTATTACACAAGTTTCAAGCACTCACAAACGCCCTCCAGATAAAACATTCTTCGAACAGATTGGCTTGAGTCGTAAGTCTCGATTTCATGAATTCTCTCTGTGGACCATGTTCAAGGGGTTCATGATGTGGTGTTTGGCAGGTCACCTAACTCTTGATTAATGACCGTTTATCATTTTGGATTTTACTGACGAGTTTGAGCACTAAAGGTCTTATTGAATAAAATCTGTGCGGGCACGCAGTAGGCATTTGGGAGAAAATACCCTTTCATCCAGGTCTGGAACTCCTCGGTCCTTGGTCACAAAACTAGTGGAAGTGAAATCCACAGGATGGGGTCGATGGAATTGACGTCATTATTCAGAATTTCACAAGACTGTTCCCTACACTATGCTCTACCTCAAGGCAGGTAGGCCTCTAATTTGTCTTGATTTTTTCGGTTGAGAATTTTATAAGGGCATGAATTGGAATGGATTCTTTTTTTATTACTTTTTAAATGGAGACTTTGGACCCGGTATTCCAGGTCTTCGAGAGCTGGTTACCAAGCAAGCCCGAGCCAAATGAGGCGAACTAAACAGGTAAACATGGTGCTAGGTGTATCTGACTCAGTGTTGGAGACAGCCTCTTCAATCTTGATGAAGCCGTCAAGGGAATCGGTTATGCTTGATTTACAAGATGAACTCGGCCATATAGGGCAGCAGCAGCCTGCCTGGCGGGGACGCAACGCGGATCGCGTGCGAGAACCTTATGCAGGGCCGGACAGGGTAGGAGTAACGGCGCGGGTGAGGGTGATGCTGAAGAGAAAAGTTTTCGAAGAGCAGTCTATCTTTCTCCTGCGGGTGTAAAGCTGGGTTCTATTGTTGCAATTTCTCCAGACGGCCGTTTCTTATTATCAGGTGTGCACCAATTTCTTGGCTGTGAATGTGACTGGGTCTTGAAATCTGAACTCAATTGTTTCGAACCACTCATATTTTGATGATGCAAAACAAATAGTTTGCAGACCCCAACTTTCAAAATATTGATATTGCTACAAGTTTACACAGTTATGAAGTACCATGTAAGATTTCCGTTCTATCAGAGTGGAGTGAGCGCGTCTCATCTATTTTTATTTTGCAATTATATCTGCTTCAATATGGAATTGATGCACAGAATCGTGCTACTTCGCGAAACAAGAATCGTCTGCTTCCAGTTGAGTCTGTCGAAGAAGATCCTCACTCGCATCAATATCGGCAGTATGGATTTTCAAGACATATTGCCTTTGCATTGACCGCCCTCACCCTGTCCTCACATATTGTGCAAGTCGACACGCAGACAATTATGTCAAATTGGTGACGACAGATACTGCTGATGCAGTTGAGAGTGCATTGAGTCATTGTGCTCCAGTTACTTGCTAAGCACTGTCTCCTGATGCAAGTGTTCTAATGACAGGGTCACGAGATACCACATGTTTATTTTGGCGATTTCATGAAATAAATTTACATGAAGTAGAAAAATGGAAGTACTTGTAAAAGTCTGCAGAAACTCCATTCTTTGTGAAAGACCGTTGTGAATGAAAAGGACTTTGGAACTCCTGGCTAATTTATCAATGCCTGGTAGGTTTGGGCGCTATCGTTTGAAATTGTTCTCCAACGTGTCGGTGGAGTCTTATTGCCGTCGTTTCTCGAAGCTGCAAAGTCTTTGGAGCACTCCATGTGCTTGTTTTTTGAATTATTTTGGACGTTGCAGCTGATGCTTTACTTGTATTGTAGGTCTTACTGAAGGTTTTTGTATTTTCGCAGGTGCTGTGGCCTTCAACCACTTCTCGACCCAAATGTGCAATGCTAGCGCGTCTTGATTACGGGGTTGGAGTTCCAGGATGAGAAAGTCGTGGTTGAGGAATCTCTTTCTCTGAACCACAATCTCCACGCGGTCAGATTAAAAGTACAATTTGTGTTGCAATTTGCAGTGGGGAACAATCTGTTGTATTCAAAATCGAACATTGTCACCGAATCATGTGTGGGCTTCACCTGCTCTGAGTCGTCGAGACCGGGTATCACTAACCTTCGAGACGACTGTAGGGATTTTGTAACAGCGCTAAGCTCAGATTAGCAGAGAACAATCGTCTCGAGTGGAAGATCATTGTCTTCGCACAATTTTTTGAACCTCCGTTCTCCCAAATCTGCCGCAACGCTGCAATGACAATCTCCTTCCACCCCCTTCGACATCTATGTTTAAGATTTGGTATCTAATGTCCACTACGATTTTAGCTACGTTCCAAAATGTGTGGTACAAGCAACTAAACAACCTCGAGCCGGCCATCACGGAGGTGCTTTCACGATGTGCTGCATACTTGATAATTGAGAAAATAGGTTTGGTTTCCTGTGTTCTGCAGGGAAGGAGCTCGAGTTAGAGATTATCAACCACCCCAGCGATATTGATTGGCTCATGGGTTGGATTATTGCTCAGGTTTGTGTTTTGCTTCCAACTTGTACCAGAAATTTGTTGTAATCGTTCTATTTTGGTATAGAATCATTTCGAACATGGTAGCCGTTCAAGTTTGGCTTGTGCTGAAAAGGGGACGTTTTTGGTGTTGCAGAGATTGGGGTGTTAAGTTCGGAGTCGAGCCGTTAGGAAGACGTCTACCATGTAGAAACATTAGAGATGAAGAGAAATTGAATAATTGTATATTAGAAGTTTGAATTGAATAATTGTATATATGTATGTAGAAGTTTCTTACATTCCCGCTAGTATATTAGTTGTTAGGATTTAGGTTTTTTATTTTTTGTAGCAACTCTCTTATTAATATGAGGTAGTGGTGATGCTTGTAGCATCGTATCTATGTACATTTCTCTTTGTTGTTTTTGTTGATTTTTAGGTAATGTTTGTAGCATCGAATCCATGTATATTTTCTTTTGTTGTTTTTATTGATTTTTAGGTAATTAAGGTTTATGGTTGAATTCAATCTTGTTAGTTAAGAACTTGTTGCATTTGAAGTTCAAAAACAAAGTAGTTGATCAAGTTGCTTTTGCAACCATAAACTCTAGATGTATGACTTTGTAAATTTAGAGGCAACTAAAGTTGTTGTAATGCACAATAGTTACAAAGATGAAGTCTTATTAATAATCCAACATGAAGAGAGTGTTGTTTCAAAGTTGAAATGAAGTGATTTACTCATGTGCACTTAAATCTAAATATAATATATTTTTAGTGACGCATCTTATTTAAATAATTTGATTTAATAATTGTGATTTGATCTTACTCTTTGATTTGATTTGATCAAGCCTTTGTTTTTCAATGTTGGTGTGGTCTTTAAGTGCACAATTTGTTCCAACATTGATTTTTCTTTAAAAATATAATAAGACACACTCATCTTATAGCAAAGTACAAGAAGGTATACAACAAACTCAATTGGGTCTACATTATAGACAATCACTACCAATTAAGCCTTGTTTTATTCAAATCAATACTTTAAGTTCTTAGCAGCTATTAGTACATATGAGGCAATTGAAGTTTTAGGAACCATTAAAAGCAAAGTCATGATTTGGCTATGGCGGCCTTAAAACTTATTGTTGCATAAAGATATGTAATTGCGACTAAACTTGTGTAGTGATTGAATTCTTGTATTATATGTGTAAGCTCATTGTTGTTACTATAATATTGATCTATTATATAAAGTCCACATTGAGTTAAATAAGGGCCATATGGAGCACAAATACATGCATATTGCATTATGTTGCATGGATCATATATACACCATGTTATCATATTGATCTTAAAGTAACTGCATAGTGCAAATAAGTACATCATTCTTTTGTTGCAACTTCTATCATTATGAATGTTCTTTATCAATGTTATGATGTCTACAATTGAGTGTTATTGTGACTTTTTTATTTCTTTGTTGTGACTTTTGTTGCAATTATTATTTTGATTGTTGTGATTGCTATCTTCAATGGATGTTGGTTATGACTTTATTGTGACTTATGTTGTTGTAGAAACAAATGTGTTGTTTGTTGTGTCTTAGATAACAAACAGTCAATTGTACACATATGTCTCTTACTTTAAGATGCAACAAAGTTAGAATGATAAGGTTAAGTTTGACATAAAGATTACAAAGAACAAATATAATCCAGCAAGATATGATGCTATAATACAACTATAGATAAGAGAGGATTGACGGTAGCATTAACGAGTCAAATGGCTTGTTTAGTCTAAATAGATGAAATGAGAAACAAGCACATTTTAAGATATAGCATACAACTATGATGTTTATTTGTTAGTAAAGACTTTATAAGAATGTTTGCAATCATATTTATTATAAAAATATGTTATAATTGAATATCTTTACTAAGAATCTTTTCTCTTATAAAATAGTACTATATAGTAATATATTTGTTGCAAGAATAATATTTTAGATTTATACTTGATGCAATCGTATTTTAATTACTATTATATATAAGAATAGTAAAAAATTATAAAATTCTTATTTATATAGTAATATTTATAGCCATATAGTTTTAATAATAGCTTTAGCTAATACCATATATTAAGATTTAAAATTTGAATATGTGATAACTTAAGACATGATAGATATTGAGCCAAACTACTTACTTTACATATACAATCTTATTGAAAATTAATAATGGCATGCATTAAACTATCAACCATGTATAAATAAAAATATAAATTGATATAAGCTTAATTTTTATTTAAAAAATCATATTTATTTTGTTGAATATTAATTTTCTTAGGTATTTTTAATAATTTTTAATTAAAAATATAATATTCTTTAAGCTTATAGATTATATATATTTATTTATAGAATATAATCTATTTTTTTTATTGGTTTTTATTAATAGTATTTTTGATAGTATAACAAATTTTTCTTTATCAATCATTGAAAACTATTGATAAAAATTATTTTTAATAACTTAAATAAAAAAATTATATTTCTAATGATGTTACAATCATCAATATAAAGAATTAGAGTAGTAGAACCACCATTATTTTTTTTCTTTATATATATATATATATATATATATATATATATAAAGATCAACTTTAAATTTGATATGATTATGTGAGCCTAAATTTTGGCTAAAATAAAGATATTACATATAAGAAGATTGCTTCAAGCCATATAATAATCTTAAAAATTTTACAAACTAAATTGATATTAATAGTTAATAGTAAGCCTTAAAGAATTAACATACAAAGTTCTTTATTAATATATCCATTTATGAAAGTTATTTTAACATCAAGTTGGTGGACTTCAAACTTATATTAAGTAGCTAAAGCAAGGAGAACTTTGATAGAATTTAAATTAACAATGGATATAAATGTTTTTATATAATCTACTTATTGGATTTAAATAAAGCTTTTAGTAATTAATCTTGCTTTATATTTGTCTATGATGCCATCAACATGGATTTTTATTTTAATAATCTATTTAAAATTAATTGGTTTGTAATTAGGAGAAAGTAGAATAAACTTCTATATATGATTTTTTTTCTAAAGCTTTTAGTTTATCATCAATTACAACTTGCCATTCTTTGAAATTAGATTATTTCACAACTTTTTAGATTTTCATAAGGGCGTTTAAAGATGAATAGACCATATTGGCTACATGGTGTTGATGGTGATGAAGATAAGATTCTTGTCTTTTAGAAAAGGATTTGCTTTGAATATACTCAAGGTACTTTTGTTTGGATTTAAATTGTTATTTAGATTTAGCTAAATTAAAAGATTCATAATTAAGAGTCTCCATATCTAAATCCACTTTTTCATTTGCATGTTGTGAAGTAGATCTAGTTGAATCATCTAATGAAAGTTGAAAAAAAACTCCATAAATATCATTCTTAAAAAGAAAATTTGATAATTTTTTTCTATTAAAAAAAATACTAGATGATGATTTTAGAACAAAGGGTTTGATTGTGAATTGAGAGTTTCTAGTTATAGTAGATTAAGTACATGAGGCTTGCTAGGAATTATATAAAGATTTTTGAATAAAGCAAGATCAATAAATTCTTCTATATCTTATTTGAGGATGAAACTTAGATATAAAGGAATATTTTTATGAAAAATAATATCTTGAGATATAATTATTATTTTTTTGTGTAAACTTATGAAACAATAAGCTTTTTTTTCTTTACTATAACCTAAAAAAGTAACCTCAAGTAAATAAAAGTCTAGATTTTTTGAATTTTCTTTTGAATAAAGACATAAACTTTGCTACTAAAGATTTTTAAATATGAAAGATTAGATTTTTGATTAAATCATATTTCAAAAGGAATTTTGTTGACTAATATGGCTTTTATGGGGCTTTAGTTTTGAAGATAGTTAATTATAACAAATTCTTTATCTCAAAAGATTTTAAAGAAATGAACATAAGTTAATATTGATAAAATTGCTCTCACCAAAGCCTGATTTGTTTTTTGAGACACCATTTTATTATAGTATATAGATTTTTGTGAATTCTTGTTTGGTGCCTTTTTTTGCAAAAGTCACCAAATATGTATGATTTATATTCATATTTTCAATTAAATCTTATATCTTTAATTTTGTGGTTTTAAAAAAACTTGACAAAAAATTGTAGACTAAAAATTTATCAAATGCTTCAAATTTATTTTTTAATAAATAAACATGAAAATATTTGGATAATCCATCAATAAAATTAATGAAATATGTAGATCCAAAATAAGTAGCAACTTATGTATGTCACAATAAATAAAGCCTAAAAGATCTATAGCTCATTGTACTACTCATCTTAAAAATTTGGTTTTGTATTATTTATGATCAACACATGGGTGATAAAAATTAAGGTCTTGTGAATCAAAATTATCCATATAAGTGGGCATCAATTGAAGTTTTCTTAATCTATTCTAATTTATATGGCCTAGTTATAAGTGCCATAAATTAACTTTACTCAATTGCATAGTTATTGGTATAGTCAATGCTTTGTAATTAGATATTAAAGTGATATCTAATTTGTATAGATTAGGATTTAACTTGCACTAGGCAATAATTTAGCTAGATTTTTAAAATAGTATCAAAATGCCAAATTCAATTCAAATTTCTCCTTTGGCTCTTTTAAGTTTTTATACAAAAAAAAATCTTTGTAAATCTTAGTATATATAAAACTTCAAATATAATTATTTTTATACCATTTGAATGTTTGATAATAACATCACTATGTTCTTCCATGTTCTAAGATGTGGTTTTGTCACCTAAATATAAAAGTTTTTTAGTGTCATATTTTATATCATTATGAAAAACATCATACTGGTGATATATCTATATATATTGGATTGCTCCAAAATCTATGTACCAAGCAAATGTGTAGCCTTCTTCAGCCATTAAGGTAAGTATATAAAGCCTATCTAATTTTTTTCTTTTCTTTTTTTTGCAACAAAACTTATTCTACATTCTTAAATTCAATGTCTAAGTTTTTTATGATAGTAACAATTTTTGTCAAAAGTTTAATTGTACTTCTTAAAATTTTGAAAAGAAATATCTTCAATTTTTGAATTAAACAATTTTTTTAAAAAAAAAGTTTTAAAAAAATAATTTTTATTATTATAAAGCTTCTTACTATTGTAAGGTTTCTTTTCTATATAAAAGATTGATAAAGTTTTAGAAGCTAAGTTAATATCTTTTATTAAAGTCTCTTCTTGAATTCTATTTGTCATGAGTGATTAAAAAATAATACCTAATTGGCAACTTAGAGAAATAATAAAAGATCTATATGATGGTAGCAGACTTCTCATCAAAGCTAAAATTGTTTTATCATTTAGAACTAGATACCTTGATGCAAACAATTATTTAAGGTGTAATCTAAACACATGAATGTATTTTGTTATTCCTTCATTTTCTTTTATTTTAA